CTGTGCAGCAGTGATTTAGCTTCAGGGAAGGAAGGTTATCACTTATAACACAATATAAGGCACATTCTTATGTTACTTAATGACATTTTCATGAGGAAATAAAAATAATATCCAATTTGCTGTTATGGTTTATGGGTTTCTGCTACTCAAAGCTCTATTAATACATGCTTGTTATTATGTATTTTCTGTTTGATAATTATAATGCTAATACAATAGTTATATTATGTAATATAACACATTATATACAATAATTGCAACTTAAAGTACTTGCAGAATGGACAAGAACTAAACACAGAGAAAGCTCACTATTTGAGCACTGAATCACATCGTAGACAGATTTAGTCTGACTGTTAGTCTGTACAGTACATTTCCTCGCTGCGTGACTGATGAAGGAATTCTGATACTGACTTCACTTCCAAAAAAGTTCTGGAATCATTTGTTCCTTTGCTTAACATTATGTTTTAATGTTAAAGATCATGCAGTTAAAAATCTTCGCGCAGTTCACTTTGAAACCTTGTATGGGTATTAAAAATGTAGAATGTTAAATGTAGTCAAGCTCCTATTCTAAACCCTGCTTATGGGTAATGATCCCTAATTTGTGAAACTGATTCAGTAAAGTACAGGAAAGAAGAAAATCAACAGCAATGTCTCTTTACATAAATCCTAGTCCACATACCTTGTTATCATCTTCATATTGTAATCACTTTCAGATGAAACTGACAATTAGCTATTTTCAACATGTCACACATTATAGCACAACCAACCTGGAAGACTGCCGTGATATACCAGTATGACTTACACACAACGGCACATCTCATCCGAGCTAACCTTCAGTAGCAGTGAAATATTAAAAGGCACACGCTTCACTCACACTGTGGATCCATCTATTTTCAAATACCAGGACGTTTTTTATGCTCATCCACACATTCTACTCTGCTGTGGTTAATAAGTGCAGTGAGCGTCATGATGATGGTGTCAAACAAAGGGCTCAACATGACCCCACAGGTCTCACCGACATGGACATGGAGAAGAATATACTGGATGTTTTTGCCTAGTTCATCTGTGCTAAAAAAAAAAGCTTAGTATCAATAGGCCTACATCAATACATAGCTGGTGTTATTTGAATTTAAACAGCAGCGGATTAATAAGAGTGATTCTACACTTAGAGCAACGTTTTAATAAAATTAACTCATTTAAGAGTTAGATGAGAAGATTGAAACAACTCAGCTTGAAACAAGGTCACAGCTAGGAAAAGCTTAGCTTAGCTGAGGATGGATACAGCTCCCCTAAATCCCTTCTAAAGCTAAATAATTTAGTCTAAATAAACATATTAGTTATAGTTTGTTTATTTTTACAAAAACCTAAGTGTAAAGAAATAAGTTGGTGTTTTAAAGCTTGTAGGCCTAATAGTCCATGGGCCAGACCAAATATCGGTACCAACCGAGGTGGCAAAACATTTGTGGTACCATTTTGTTCTTAGGGTCCATATAAGTACATTAAGCCATAATAGACTTTCCAACTGAGTAGCTTAGCGGAGTTACATGCTACCCCATTATTGATCAAATAACGCATTTTGTCACCTACAAAGTTTGGCGGTATGTTCTGCGTTTGTCCCTGCTATGTGGAAAATGGTAATGAAACTTGCCTGAATGAATATTATATAAGCTTTGTATGTTTTATTTGGAATATATTTTCAGATTTTTGGGGAAGAAGCTCATTTTGTTGCTTTTCAGATAATGTTATTGGAGCCGCATGTTATTGCCATTTTACATGTTATCGGACACTGCGTCTGATGTACCGGTATGTAGACATACATTTTTAGTTAAGATGTATAGTTAAGATTAAGTTAATATTTCAAAGTGATGAAACTTTCTGCCTTCTTATAGAGCAAGAATGCAGACTCGTGCTCCGGAGTGATCAAATGAGAAATTAATCATGTAATGAAACTATTATCAACAGAGACGTACTACAAACAGAATGTATATTTTATTGCATTACTTAAGTGTAAAGTGTAAAGACTCTATATATAGAAGATAATACATGAACAATCATAACCTCCCCACGTTGCTTTGGTGTATTTGCAGGTTCCATACACTGCTACTGTCACTAGCAACTAACTGAAAATGGACTCAGTCCCAGAGGCAGGAACCAGCGGCACGGCACCAAAGCGGCCACGCCTGGAGTGCCTCATCCATTGCACATCTCAAGATGAAGACTCAACCCTGGTATCACCAAAAGACATTGGTTGCTGGAAAACCCTGCTGAGAGCAGCAGAAATCAGACAGCATGCACCGATCTTAGACATCGCAAAGGACTTGCCAGATGATGTCATACCACCTGTCACCTACCATAGGAAGTGCAGAAGCATCTTTACTATGAAAAAGGACCTTGATGCTATTATCACCAAGAAAGACAATAACCCTACATCAGAAGGTTCAAGAAAGTCAGCCAGACAAACGCCACACCAATCAAGGGTATATAAGGAAGAATGCATCTTCTGTGAAAAAAACAACAAGTACTTGAAAGGCCTAAAGACAAGAGAGCCTTTGACCCAGTGTACTGAGCTCTGTGCAGATGATACAATCAGAACAGCTGCAACGAGGAAACTGGACAACAGAATCCTTGCCATTTTCAGCAGAGAACTGGTGGCTGCTGAAGGCCACTACCACAGGTCTTGCTACCGCCTGTACACCAAGGATGCAGCTCCTGTAGCAGCTAGCAGTGCGCCAGATGGAGAGGACATTAACGAGACCTATGATGATGGTGTGCAGTATGATGCCGCAGAGAAACAGTCATACAGTGAACTATTCTCATTTATCAGAGAGGAACTGTTTCTCAACCCTGCTGTGGTCCCACTGATTGACTTCACAGCTAGACTGGTCTCACGTATGAATGGTCTCGGTATAACCAAGGTGAAACCATCCACAAAGAAACATATCCGCCGGAAGCTGGAGAGTGAATTTGGAGAAGCACTCCACATCATTCAGAACGATAAGGGCAAAGTACTCCTTTATCCAGACAACCTCTCCTTGTCTAAGCTTGCGAAAGCACATCAAGCACTCCAGGCTGAGTTGCAGGTCATGAGGTCAGCAAAGACAGAGGACAGTATCAGCAAGGCAGCACTGAGGATGCGAGATGATGTCAAGAAGCAAGATGACGTCCAGGCATGGCCACCTCAAATATCAGAACAGGAGCAGAGGGACGTTAACATCCCAACTTCAGTGACCATGTTCCTGCACACATTGCTGACAGGCTTTACAGACTGTACACAACCATCCCAGAGAGTACAGAGGCTATGTAACTCTTTTGGCCAGGAATTGGTTTATGCCATTACCTGTGGCAAGACGAAGCCAACGAAGCACATCATACTGCCCTTTGCTGTGAAGTCACTCACGGGGAATGTGGAGCATGTAGACACTACAGACATGTACATGTAACTATGTTATGCAATTCCATGTTTTATGTTGTTTTTTTTTCAAGTAATAATAATTTTATTTGGCTAAAATATTGTCCAAGTTACTTTAGAATGACCTGTATAAATAAACAACACCATAAGAACAATGCATTAGCCATTAAATGGTTGACTTCATGTTGGTATTTGAGTTATATGTACATTCAAGCAACNGGGTGTGTGAGAAGTGTGTGTATGAGATTAAAAAAGCCCAATTGCTTTTATGTTAAACCCCTTTACTATTCAATTAAACACATTCAATGTTTATTTATTGTAAAAGCAATTGGGCTTTTTTAATCTCATACACACACTTCTCACACACCCCCACACACACACACACGCACACACACTTCTCCGCCTCATTCCGTTTTCATTTACTCGTTAGTTATCTGACCAGCTTCAATCTTGTAGGCTACTCACTTCGTTTCTTGTAGCCCTCGAAAGGGTTTTGGAGGTTGATGCCTCGCTGAACGTGAGTTGTCTGGCTTTCTTGTCCGCAGCAGCAGAAAGCATTTTCGAATGTTTGAATGAATCAAAGTGGGTCGTCCCCGTCGATTTTCTCTTATGCTCCAACACACAGTTGCACGGGGTGCAGAACAGTTTCCCCCCACTTTTTGCCCGGTCTTTCTGAAATGTTCGTCGGTAAATGAGATGGATTAGATTTTTTCATCTTGGTGTTTTCTCTATCGTGTGAGCTCCACACGTTCACTCTATACAGTGTTGTTTACATTCTGTGATGCGCGAGCTGATGACGTCACGTCAAGACGAGTTAACTTTTTTTCTTCTCAACTTTTGTGGAAAAATGCGGGGATTATGCGGCCTTTTGATAAATATGCGGCCTTTTAGAAATACGCGCCATTTTGCTGATTATGCGGTAAATTCTGGACGGTCTAACTATCTTCAAATGTCTCATTCCACACGCCATAAGACTATTAAACACCTGAGAGAACATTCATCTGTTTGCATCTTGCAAATTATTTATCTATATATCATATTCCATTTACTTGTATATAGACTCTTCTTGCACTATATCTATTTTATTTGTATTTACTTGCACATCTCAAAAATTTATCTTGCGCTAGTTTATCTTTTTTTATGTCATATTCATGTTGCACTGTTGACTTCAGTTTTGATTGCCATATCTGCACTGTAGCTAATGGGCACATGGCAATAAAGCCTTGAATCATGTCTATCAATTAAAGCCAGCCGATACATGTAGTTGAGTATACAACAATTATTGCCCACAAAAAAGTGTGTGAAGTGAATTCTCACAAAAGTGGAAGGTAGTAGGTACATTCGAAAGAGGACTTGTTCTCATTTTCATATTTGTATGTAGAGTCTCTACCGTGACATGTCTCCATGCTTTAATGTTCAAAAAGCTCTTTATTTTTCTCATACTGCAGCACCTCTTTTCACCCTCTGTCTGAAACCAGAGCCCAGTCTGCTCTGATTGGTTATCATTTACATGCACTAAAACCTACTGTATAATACGGAAGAAGGAAAACCCCTCAAAAGTAGGATAGGCCTATTGAAGTAAAAAACGGTCACAGAAGTGGTATGTAGTTTAATTGTGCAAATCATGCTGGTCTCTTCAATAATTCAACTTTTTTTTTACATTTTCAAAATTCAAACAGCAGCGTTGACCACAAGCTCGACATGCTACAGGTCATGTCTGTATTTAGAGTGGTTACACAAGCCAGGATGTTGAGTTGGTCTCAGCAGCTTCACAACTTCCAGAAGGGATCATGACAAATCCTCTTTGTACAGCATTCAGATGTGACTACACGTTGATAAAGATCTCCACCATCACAGGTGTTAAACATTCGTGAATGATTTCAGGATGATCTCTATGGCACCGAGTCAAAATCCCCAAAAATGTGATACAGCACAATACTAAAAATGCTCTTTGTAGTGAGAAATACAAGTAAATAACATTCACAAATGAAATACATTAATATTGTCACTAGTGTTACAGGTGAGAAATGTACAGCAGTGAAGTGCACTGACATACAGAATGTTGTCGGTGGAATACTGACAGACATATCCTTCAAGTTTTCCACTTTGAATATAATAAACGGCCTTATGCAGATGAGTGACAATTAGGAAAAGCTTCAATGCTTCTTGGCATAGACTGTCTTCTACTCTGTACCCTGTATAAAGACATGTCCTTTGTTTCATTTTGCTACAAATCTTTTCATTTTTTCCTTAAATGTTCACTTATCTGTAGGCTACGTGTTAAAGGTGAAGTCTTGTGATATTCTATATTTTAATTATTGTAAAGACAACCCCTGAAAACCAGCAGTTAACCATTCTGTACAATCTTTGTAGCCAAGTCTAAAGTGGAAGTCTTAAGTAGTTCAGCAGGGTGACCTTCATTTTCGTTCCTTCATTTGAATGAACTTGGGTTTCATTTTGGTCGATGCCACACACTGTCCTGCTGCTTTCAATACTCACTAATGCACCAAATTTGAATTAATCCGCAGCTTAGTCTGTACGAGAAAAACAAAATCACTTTCTTTTAACAAGGGAAAGTACAATTTCGCAAGCTGTTTATAAAGATTTATACTCCAAGTCGTACTCTAAGACAGCGTAGTACTAACAAATAAACCTTTGTTTGGTCTTTTAACAGAATTTTCTGTAAAACGAAAATATGGAATACCACCAGCCTTATCTTAACCTTAGGTACACTCCCTGATTATGCTATAGTACTCAAAAGCAACTTTAAAAGGAGACATATCATGCTCATTTTCAGGCTCTTACTTGTTTTATGGGTTGTAATCGATCATCTTTTCATGCTTCAATGTTCAACAAACACATTATTTTTCTCATTCTGTCACTCTAAATAACTTCGTGTCTGTCCAAAACAGTCCGTTTGAGCGCCTGTCTCTTTAAGACCTCGTCTTGAAAAAGCCAAGTCTGCTTTAATTGGCTTGCGAAAAGAATATGGCGTAACTTTGCAAAGGTACTTGTAAAGCTGGAGAGGGAGTATATTCTAATGAGGCTACATGTGACATACGAAGGGAAGCCAAACATGAATGACTTGTTGAGTCTAACTGGGTTATCTTATTTCTCAGTTTGTGCGGAGGTAGGCTTTCCTGATAAGTAAGTGCAGAAGCAATAGGAAAGTGAGATGTTCATGATATGTCCCATTCAACATAACAAAGTCAAGGAGCCTATCTTATAATAGTGTCATTACACTTCCAACTGGGGCTTTGTACAACACCCTGATTTTAAATCCTTCTCAGGCCATACATACCTGCATGATTTAGTGGCAAAAACAGCAATTTGGCCTCCCAGCGCGAGACGTTTCATTTTTCCAGCAGTGCCCCCAAAAACATTCCACTGTGGTGAACAATACAATACAATATAGTGTGGCTGCATGATCTGCTTTAAGTATGACTGATGGTAACATGCAAACATTCAGTCGAGTTTAGTATTTCAAAGTTCTTAGCCTTGTTTTCCAGGCCCGAACTTCTGACGCTCGGAGAGAGGAGGTAGATTCTCCATCAGTCTGACCGTTCAAGAGTGTATAGAGTAAATAAAAACTACTTCATTAAATGTGCTATTCCTAAATCACAGCATCTTTCATACTCTGTGTGAGGAACCGACTTCAGGTGACTTCCCGTCCTTGTCACGAGTCCTTGGTGTGCGAGATCTGTCTCCACAGCAGAGCCTTCAGGTTGTTGAGAATAAGGGAGTGCTCCATGTTCATTTGTCCAGCATTACTACCTTTGAGAGCCATGCAGGAGTACAACTGCCTCTCCAGCTCCTCCCTCATCCCTGAGGGCGCCCCCCGCAGGAGGTAGTCCTTCAGTGTGCCGCACGCCTTCGCTAGGTTGGGCTGAACTGGCTCCTCCTTGCATCGTTTCTCCGACAAATCACACAAGGTCTTGCAGTCCACCCCGTACACACAGTCAGCGTCCGTCTCACACTTCAGCGCCCGCATGGTGCGCTTGAACTCGTCCTCAGACACCACCGCCCGGGCGTCAGTCAGACGGAGCTCGTGTCGGTCGGTATAACCAAAGTGCGCCGCAGCGAGGTCACAGATCAGAAAGCTGCCATAGGTGCCGTGGAAGAGGTCCTCCACCAGCTCCAGGAGGCCCATGGAGATCTTGGCTTTGCGAGGCCATGAGGGGGTGAACCACTGGTCCATGGAGCGCTGCATGCTGCTGGGGACCCAGGACACCAGGGGCCATGGGAGAGACAAACCGTACAGGGGCCCGTAGTGGACGCGCTCCGTCATGTACAGATCCCCGCAGAAGCCCAGGAGGCGAGGAGTGTGACCGCGGTCCTGCAGCAGGAGGCCCAGCAGCACCTGTAAACAAGGCAGGAATGGGTCTCACTGAAGAGCTAGAATCATTGTTTGTTTGCAGATCAGGGTTAGTACAGATCGAGGCAAGTAAGACTAAGTACTTTTTTATTTAAATGAAATGTAAGATCAAGTTCACGATAACTCATTATCATGGATTCCACTACCTTGATTCTCATCGTGCCAACTTCAAAAACACTTCCTACACTAAATACAGGTTTAATCCATGCCTTTGAATACTGGTACATTCATTTGAATTTGCACTTTCCCATTTGCACATTCAGTCGTGGGGTGATGTTTGAGGTGAGGTAATGACCATAAATGGTAAAGGTTACGAGAGGTCGTTGGGAAGCAAGTTTGCGAGTGTTTTTGCTAAATGAGAATTACAGTCTAGATACGACCCTTCACCATTTTGCCGTAACTACCAGACGAGGACCATCATACATAAAGGTGTGTGAGGCTTTCTGTAAATTGTGTTAAAAGAAAGAAGATACAAATTATTTGGGAGATTTTTAAATTGCATGTCGGATAAAAAAACGAAATGCTACCTACCATATCTCAGCATGTTGACTTTTGAAAGATTTATTGCAGACTTGTTAAAACATATTAAAACATATTTAAACATTAAAGGTGGGGTAGGTAATTTTGGAGAAACCAGCTCGAGTGCACTAGAATTTGAAAATACACAGCCGGAAAAAATCTGCCACTTCCTTACAGAGCCCCTCCTCCAACACACACGAACATGACCAATGAGGGCACGAGATAAGTTTGCGCACAGATGGAAGGCTGACAGGCAGGTAGGCCATCCAGTTATTTTAGCCAGGCCCTTCCTGTTCACAGTCTATACATCAGACTTCAGACACTGCTCACAGTCCTGCCATCTGCAGAAATTCTCAGATGACTCTGCCATTGTGGGCTGTATCATCAGAGATCAGGAAGCTGAGTACAGGAGTGTGGTGGAAAGTTTTGTGGAGTGGTGCGGTCAGAACCACCTGCAGCTCAACGTCACAAAAACTAAGGAGCTAGTGGTTAACTTCAGGAAGCGGAGTACCGCCCCAAGCCCAATTACCATCGTGGGCATGGATGTGGACATTGTGGACAGCTACAAGTTCCTGGGCGTCCACATAGACAATAAACTGGACTGGAGTAAAAACACTGACGCCCTATATAAGAAAGGCCAGAGTCGCCTGCATTTCCTCAGGAGACTCAGGTCCTTTAACGTCTGCAGCACTATGTTGCAGATGTTCTATGACTCGGTGGTCTCCAGTGTGATCTTCTTTGCTGTAGTGTGTTGGGGCAGCGGGGTGAAGACAGCTGATGCCAACAGACTCAACAAGCTTATCAGGAGAGCAGGCTCTGTCCTGGGAGTGGATCAGGAGTCGTTGGCAGTGGTGTCGGATGGGAGAATGCTGAGGAAACTTCTCAGCATTCTGGACAACGGGTCTCACCCCCTGCATGCCACACTGGTTTCCTACCAGAGCACTTTCAGCCACAGACTGAGATCACCCATAACCACCACACAGCGCCACAGGAGGTCTTTCCTCCCAGTGGCAATCAAACTCTTTAACTCTTCACCCCTAAGTAAAGGGCACTGAGAACTCCCACACCAACACTATGCAATATACATATCAATATAATTAACATCATTGCAATACACTCGCTGCTATATATATATATATATATA